GGGTCATGTGAGTTTATAGTGTTGTGACACTAAAAATAGTGTGTCATTAATTTGAGATGATCAACAAGGGGAAATTTAAAAAATAAAAAAAATAAACCAGCAGTAATGAATACTTTTGACCATCAAAATCACCAAACCAATTTGGGCTGCATGTATATTCAAAGGCGTCCCTTGGCAAGATAGTAATTAATTATTTAATTGAGTTAGTTAGAATGAAAGGTTTAGTTTTGGAAGCAGGTGGATTATTCTACTGGAAAGAGGTTATTTTAAGAGATACTTATGTTTTATATTTTACTATTAAGATATTATTGCTGTTATGTTACTTCATTATTAAATAACTCGTAGCATAGATAAAAATCCGATCATTGGTCAAGTGAAATTAACCAATGAAAATCATGCACGCAACATTTCAATTTTTTATTAAATTTATTAATTTTGTAATAATAATTTGTTTATTTTTATTACTTGTCTAAATTCAAAGGAAATTTCTTCTAAAAATTTTCTTTCTTTCGTCAGAACTTATTAGATTGACAAGGGGGTTGATTTCACAGCTTATTTTCACCAAAATCCAATTATATTTATATACTTAACAACATATAATAAAATATATATCTTGATTACCACATACTATACAAGGACCAAAATTTTTTTGGCTTACACTTTTATTCATTTTATTACAGTATTAATGATAAATGATAGTTAGAAATGTTATTTATTTACTATTGTTTGAATTATCTATATATTGGCCTTATTTTTTATGTTACACACACATATCAAGTTAAAATCCAGATCATTGCAAATTTGGATGTTATGACAAGTTTAGAGCAACTTTTTTATTAATAAAAATAAAAATCCAATTCCGCTCAGGAAAGAACAATAATAACAGAACATTTGTACAAATTTTGAGGTGGTTTTATATAGTCTGTGCAGTGCCACTTTTCTAAGGGTACTTTTTCGATTTTACAATACTCTTCACATATAAATTGTGTAATGCTGATCTATCCATAAAAGGATTTTATCTATGCTATGGTGCGGGACCTCTTAAACCACCAATTTTGCATGTGATTTTAAATAATTGAACTGCACCGTCAATAAATGCCTGAAAAGGGTATAATTTAAAGCGTTTTGACACATTTAGACATTTTGACATTATTTAGACTTTTGACATTAATTTAGGCTTTAGGCTTTAGACATCACTTTAGACTTTCGACATGCCTAAATGTTGAATGACGAAACGTTTCGACAAAGCTCAAAACGTTTCGACTAACAACTCTATTACTTGAAGATTCTTGTTGTTGTTGTTGTTGTTGTTGTTTTGCTCCTTCAGTGATTTCATTATTTGGACCTGAAATTGTATTGTCGATAAGAGTTTGAACATTGGGACTAGTTAAGGTATTTTTCTTTCCGAGTTCTAAGATACCTATCACCCAACTAATAACATTCATTATAGATGTCATAATTATAGCTAAAACTGCTACCAGTAAAGTGGTTTTAGCAAATCCGGCGGCATGTTTTACTGCTATTGATTCTTCTTCAACTTGATTATTCTCAATTTGTACAAAACCTCCAAGTCTAGTTGGAAAGGAAGTAACAGTACCACTGTCGGAGGTTCCATTAAGAGATGTTATATTACTACTGGCGGAAAGTGAAGCTGCGATAATGATCAGGATTTGTGAAATGGTGCCCAAAATTTGAGAAAATTGAGCGTCCAATTTTTTGACTGATGAATCATAAGATTCAACTTTTGGCCTTAATACATTGAACACTTTTAATATTCCATTATAATAAATTGGGCCTTGTAATCCTGCAGGTGACTGTTTGCTTGGGTGAAATTTTCGATAAAATAAAACAACTGTATTTGAAATTATAAAAAGTATGATTTGTAAACTTATTGTCACTCCGGAAATCTTACCAACGGGTGAAATATTTCTGAAATCCCATTCGGTGAAAACGAATGATCCAATAAATACATTATAAAGGAAGTTGCCAAAACTACTACTAAGTCCTAATAAAGTCAGCCGTTGGATAATTAAACTGGTATAATAAATTAAAAATTTTTAATAATAGTTCAACTCTATAAATGCGCCTGGTAATTCTTTTCTCTTCTTCTCTTTGTTCCGGAGTATCTTTATCAATATTCCGAATTGCTTCTTCGATGTTGTCTTTTACACCAACTTTATCTAATACCTCTAATGTCGTTTGAACAGACTCTCCGGTAATTTGTGGTGTTGCTGTAGCCATGGCATTTAAAACTTTACCACCAGTGTCTTTTACTGCTGGTATATTAACTGTCACTGATGATTTTGATACAGACATTATTATTGTTATTTATTATTATTATTATTATTTAGTATTATAAATATACGTATATATGTATATATTGATAAATAATAGTTAAAATATTTAATTCGTTAAAAAATCGATAAAATAAAAAATTTATTTTTCTGAAAAAGAAGCTTTCTGGTCTTCAATGCTAACAGTATCCTTTTATTTATTTTTCAGTTGTTTACTTAGTTAATCGCTATGTATTTTGTTTATTATCACATTTTTAGAAAGTTTATTGTTTGTTTGTTTTGTAAAACGTAAATATACAATGATTAATCACATTTTTAGAAAGTTTATTTATTATTTGTTTGTTTTGTAAAACGTAAATATACAATGATTAATAATAAATAAATAAAGTGATACAAAATTTTTCGAGAATTGTAGACGTGCGATTTGATTATAATAATAATAAATTCCCAAGCTAATTTTTATAAATAAAAAATTATTCGCTTTTTAAGGCTAGTTCCTTCCTGCTCGGGAATTGTTTTTTTGGTAATTTTTTTTTTTTTTTTAATTTTGAATTTTGTACAAATTATTGGCGCGTGTAACGTTTCGTGTAACTTCTAACGTCCAATGTCAACTTATAAAACCAAACAAAATAAAAAAAAAAAATTTAAGAAAAAATGAATTGATTTTACATATATAGTAATTAGAATAAACTCGCCCATCACCACCATCATCCTTATTCGATGAATTTTGAATATTTAGAGCATTTACTTTTTTTTCTTTACTGAAAAACGAAAAAAAAATTTTTTTTAAGAGGAATTAAAACCAAAATCTCTCAAATCAGGTATTCTCTCCCGATGTTTTTTTGATTTCATATTTCACACCCTGTCCAGGATCAAGTCCAAATACCCCGCATCCCTTCAACATCAATATGCGTCCAT